AACATAAACTTATGCCCTTTTATTTATAAAATAACAGTGCTGCCACTCATACCTCAAAAGTCCAAGAAAAAAATAAAAACAAAATCCCTCTTTAATATGTTTCTCCTTACTGATGATAGCTAGTAAATATTTTGAAAGAAAAAAATCAGCTATAGTATATGTGGATATAAGGAACAGTGCATCAAGATGGCACTCAATGTGTCTTCATGGTCTCCTTCTATCTGCCCTAACCACCAGCTGCTTCTCTTATCTTGCTTTTAGATAAAAAGGACATGCTAACACTCATTTGAGCAGAAGGCTATATTTGTCCTACTGTGATGGTATCTGTAGGATGGAAAGTGTCAGTCATCCTGAAATCAAGTCCTAGCTCTGCTTACTAGCTGTTTGACTTAAGAAAGTCATAATATCTCTAACTAGATATTTCCTCAGAAATATCTAGAAGGAAAACCATCTGTGTCACCTTTCTCATGGGCTGGTGTGACATGGTGAGAGCACTTTGAAACACCATTCAGACGTGTTTTAACTGTAAGAGGAGATAAGGAAATGACTTTCTAATTTAGGCTTCCAAAATTTCCCTTGCTAAGAATGATGACATGCTTCAGTAAGAGAATATAAAGGAGTAAATCACTTAAATCTTCGTAAACATCTTCAAGACAATAATTAAGATTAAAAGCAAAAGAATTGAGACTTCTGACCAAGATGGAATAAAAGAGACTGGGTTTTCCCTCCCGTGTGAAACAGACAAAAGAAAAAGAAAAAAATATTAAAAAAAAATTTTTTTTGAAGATACCTTTTATCAAGCACTGAGGTGATTCCTTGAGAGAAAGGAAAGAAATGCAGTGCGCCTGAGGATTGCACTTTCTGCTGGCGAGTTTCCCAGGGACAGAGCAGGAAGAAGGAAGCCTTGTGGCAACTGCGCAGACAGAGCGGTGAGTCCAAGAGACCAAGGTGACTGGGGGTCAGAGGACAGAGTACCAGAGAGCAACCCCGAGAGAGCACTCCGGAGATCTGCCGAGGGTTCCCTTCCCGTATCCAGCCAGGTGCTAAGCAGTGCACGCCTATGAGCGAACTACTGAAACTGAGAGAAAACCACCCAAAAGGATTATCTGGTGCTACACCAGGCTTGGAATAGTGCCTTTTTCTGCCAGCTGGACTGGAGAACCTCTTAATTCACAAGGTACTAGGTAGAGTACTTGGAAGAATCTTGCCTGCACAGTGGGGAATAATTGGCTGTGCAATAAATGCTGTTCTGGTCCTGCCCAGTAAATCTTTTTTTTTTTTTCCCAAGTTTTTATTTAAATGCCAGTTCGTTAAAATACAATGCAGCACTAGTTTCAGGTGTAGAATTTAGTGATCCATCATTCATATACATCATCTGGTGCTCTTCATAAGTGCTCTCCTTAATCTCCATCACCTGTTTCATCCCTCCCTCAACCACCACCCACCTCCACCCACCTCCACTCTGGTAACCTTCAGTTTGTTCTCTGTAGTTAAGAGTCTGTTTCTTCGTTTGCCTTCCTTTTTCCCCCCTCAATGTTCATTTGTTTTGTGTTTCTTAAATTCCACAGATGTGTGAAATCATATGGTACTTGTATTCCTCTGACTGACTTATTTCAGTTAGCATAATGCACTCTGGCCTCATCCCCATTGTTGCACATTGCAATATTTCATCCTTTTCTTGGCTGAATAATACATACACACAGAAATATATTATATATACAACATATATATGTATCTCACATCTTTTTTTCTAAGATTTATTTATTTATTTATTTGAGAGCACAAACAGGGAGAGGAGCAGAGGCAGACACCCCACTGAGCAGGGAGCGCAATGCAGGGCTTGATCCCAAGACCCTGGGATGGTGACCTGAACTGAAGTCAGACTCTTAACTGACTGAACCCCCCCCAGGCATCCCAATACCACATCTTCGTTATCCATTCATCTGTCGATGGACATTTGGGTCTTTCTATAATTTGGCTATTGTTGATAATGCTGCCATAAACACTGGAGTGCATGTACCCCTTCAAATCAGTATATTTGTATCCTTCAGGCGAATACCTAGTAGTGTGATTGCTGGGTCGTAGGGTAGCTCTATTTTTAACTTTTTGAGGAATGCCCATACCATTCTCCAGAGTGGCTGTACCAGTTTGCATTCCCAGGAACAGTATAAAAGGGATCCCCTTTCTCCACGTCCTCACCAATACCTGTTGTTTCCTGTGGTGTTGATTTTAGCCATCCTGACTGGTGTGAGGTAGTATCTCATTGTAGTTTTGATTTCTACTTCCCTGATGGTGAGTGATGATGAGCATATTTTAGTGTGTCTGTTAGCCATCTGGATGGCTTTGGATAGTCTTTGGGAAAATGTCTATTCATGTCTTCTGCCCATTTCTTAACTGGATTATTTGTTTTTTGGGTATTGAGTTTGATAAGTTCTTTATACATTTTGGGTACTAATCCTTTATCAGATATGTCATTTGCAAATATCTCCTGTCATTCTGAAGGTTGCCTTTTACTTTTGTTGATTGCTTCCTTTGCTGTGCAGAAGCTTTTTATTTGGATGAAGTCCCAATAGTTTAATTTGGCTTTTTTTTTCTTTGCCTCCGGAGACATATCTAGTAAGAAGTTGCTACAGTTGATGTCAAAGAGGTTACTGCCTGTGTTGTCCTCCAGTATTTTGATGGTTTCCTGTTTCACATTTATGTCTTTTATCCATTTTGAATTTATTTTTGTATATGGTATAAGAAAGTGGTCCAGTTTCATTCTTTTGCATGTCGCTATCCAGTTTCCCAACACCATTTTTGAAGAGGCTGTTTTTGTTCCATTAGATATTCTTTCCTACTTTGCTGAAGATTAATTGCCCATATGGTCGTGGGTTCACTTCTGGGTTTCCTATTCTGTTCCATTGATCTACGTGTCTGTTTTTGTGCCACTCCCATACTGTCTTGATCAGAACAGCTTTGTAATACAGCTTGGAGGCCAGAATTGTGATGCCTCCAGCATTGCTTCGTTTTTTCAAGCTTGCTTTGTCTATTCAGGGTCTTTTGTGGTTCCGTACAAATTTTAGGCTTGTTCTAGCTTTGGAAATGCTGATATTTTGATAGGCATTGCATTAAATGTGTAGATTGCTTTAGGTAATATGGACATTTTAACAATGTTCTTCCAATCCACGAGCATGGAATGTTTTTCCATTTCTTTGGGTCGTTAATTGCTTTCCTCCGTGTTTTATGGTTTTAAGAGTACAGATCTTTTACCTCTTTGGTTAGGTTTATTCCTAGGGATCTTATGGCTCTTGATGCAATGTAAATGGGATCAGTTCCTTGATTCTCTTTCTGCTGCTTCATTATTGGTGTATACAAATGCAACAGATTTCTGCACGTTGCTGTTGTATCCTGCAACTTTACTGAATTTGTATATCAGCAGTTTTTTGGTCAGCCCAACAAGTCTTAAAACCAAAATCTGAAAGGATCAAGTTGTTTCCAAGTAACTAAACTGCATTCCAGAACAAAGCTCAAGAATATTTATAGGAATACAAAAATATCTAACACCCAACACAGTCAAAATGACGATGCGTGGCATCCAACAAAAACTACCAAACATGCAAAGAAACACCAGATGTTAGAATTAGCCACGGATGTTAAAAGTTATAATTGTAGGGGTGCCTGGGTGGCTCAGTGGGTTAAGCCCCTGCCTTTGGCTCAGGTCTTGATCTCAGGATCCTGGGATGGAGCCCAGCATCGGGCTCTCTGCTCAGCAGGGAGTCTGCTTCCCCCTGTCTCTGCCTGCCTCTCTGCCTACTTGTGATCTCTCTCTGTCAAATAAATAAATAAAATCTTTTTAAAAAGTTATAATTGTATTTCAGATATTCAAAACCTTAGAGATATAGATTTTTTTAAAGATGCAAGTCAAACATCTAGAGATGAAAACTATAATGTCTGAGCTGAAAGATACCCAGGATGAGATTAACAGTGTATCCATATAGTAAAATACTACTCAGCAATGAAAAGGGACGAATGACGGATGTGATATTGATGAATCTCAGAATAACTGGACTGAGTGAACGAATGCAGACAAAAAAAGTTTGCATGCTGTGTAAATCAATTTACATGAAATTCTAGAGGATGCAAAATAATGTATAGTTACAGAAATGTAGGATCAATGATTACCAGGTAGGGGGGCAAGAGGAAGGAATTCATTTCCAAAGGGCACAAGGACACTTTTGAGGGTGATAGTTATGTTTGCTGTTTTTATTTATGGTGATTTCACAGGTATACAGACATAGATGTCAAAACTTACCAATTTGTATGCTTTAAATATATATGGCTTATTGTATGTTGATTATAATTCAGCAAAGCTTTAGTTTTTAAAGACTAAAGAGATATGCATGTATTTAAAAAGACACTGCCCAACTCGGGACATAGAGGACTCATAAATAAAACCACATTTTTAAATATTTGAATTTTTGTAAATTTTAAAGAATGATTTAATGTTTACATCTGTAATTTTTATTACATCTAAGTCTATAGTGTCTATGGACTGCATCTATTGTATAGTATCTACAGCATCTAGAATAGTAACTGAAACTTGGTTTGAGGGCTATTTCGTTTTTTAGCAGTACACTGGAAAATGTCCCCCCTTATTTTCCCCCATATTTTCATGGTTCTTTTCATTAAAAATAAAAACCCTAAGAGCTAGGAAGCACAAGGTCAATTTCAATTATCATTTTTTCCAACACTTACTTTACATATTAAGAAAACTCTACACATTTTTCTTAAGCATAAGTGAGTGACTGTACACTTACTCCCAATACCCTTCTCCGTCTGATATGTGGTCTCAGGCGAAAAATCTCTGAGGGTCTGCTTATGACTCAAAGGCTTTAATTCAGTTCCTGTTGACCTGCTTCATTAGAGACACAGTGCTGTGATGCCTGCCCATTCTATTTGGGAATGAACTAATTTATGTCTTCTCTTGTTCCCAACTTGTCTGTCCCGACTGTCTCCAGTTTGACGCTGACCGAGACGAGGATGAGGTGTTCTATGACATCAGCATGGCAGTTGACAGCAAGTTATTTCCAAACAAAGAAGCTGCGGCAGGTAAGTCACTGTGTCCTTCGGGCCACCATATGGCCTGACCACCTGCCAAGTGTTTGGAGCTTTGTAGTAATATCGGAGCACAGCAATCTGCTGTAAGGCTTTAAGGATGACGCTATCCTCAGAGATTTATACTTTCTGGTTTAAAAATAAAGGTACAAAACAAAGTAGAAAAGAAGGACTCTCCATCTGGCCCTTATAGTTAATGGGGTTTTTTTTAAATTTTTTTTTATTTGACAGATATCACAAGTAGTCAGAGAGGCAGGCAGAGAGAGAGAGGAGGAAGCAGGCTCCCTACTAAGCAGGGAGCCCAATGTGGGGCTCGATCCCAGGACCCTGGGATCATGACCTGAGCTGAAGGCAGAGGCTTTAACCCACTGAGCCACCCAGGCACCCCATAGTTAATGTTTTTCCTCCAGTCATTGCACATGTAAATTAGCAGGCAGTCCCAGTGTAACATAGGACGTCAGTTACTATAATTGAGAAAAACAAATCTAGCCCATTCTTTGTGCAACAATTAAAAGTTAACAGTTCCTCCAGGACTCCTTAATTGTAGTTGTGTCTGCCACGCCCCCTTGGGAAAAGCTTCCCCTTCTGTCAGAGAGCTACTCCTATCCCAGCCCACAGCTCCCGTGTTGGCTCTGCACCTTCTCTTCCTAAGCGCTCACACCTAGAAGTTGGACGTTGTGACAGTGCGGGGATATCACACTCCCTTCTGTAGGCAGTACTCACAGTCCTGTCCTTGACCCTTTTCTCACTCTCTTTGACTATCTGACGCTGTTCAACTCATTGTTCCTCATGATCTCAACTATCAGCTGCATGCGGTTGACTCTCAAACCTTCATCCCAGTCCTGACCTTTCTTCTCAGTAATGGCGTCAGCGGGTAAGGACCAAAAGAGTTCTGGGCTGTAAGGAAAAAGATTAAACACTTAAAATGTTCAACCATATTTGATTTGAAGCACGCTAAGAGTTCCTTCAAAGGAAGGCAGAATAAAAAGAAAGGCAAGGATGTAGTCTTTCTGGGCAGCCCCACTGAGAACAGATAATAATGTACACTCACCTGCCTGGTTGTCCAGTGATAGTTACAATAAGATGGCCTACAGCTGGGAAAGAAGGAATACTGAGAAGCTTGTACGATCATATAAACCAGAGTCCTGCTGCTCTGGAAGATGCTATAACACCTGGGCTTTGTAGGTCAATCCTTTATTTAGAACATTTACTTAGACGTCTACCAACAAATATCTAATTGTTAGGTGTCCTCAGTTTGCCCACACAGTGGAGTAGAGGAGCTGATTTAAGCTAGCCCTTGTATTTTTTTCTAATTTTTTAAAATGTTAATTCCAGTATAGTTAACATATACAGTGTGATATTAGTATCAGTGTACAATAAAGGGGTTCAGTAATTCCATATGTGACTCAGTGCTCACCATGCTAAGTATATTCTTAATCCCCTTCACCTCTTTCACCCATCCCCCACCCACCTCCTGTCCAGTCACCTTCAGTTTGTTCTCTACGGTTAAGGGTCTGTTTCTTGGTTTGTCTCTCTTTTTTTTCCTTTGTTTATTTGTTTTCTTTCTTAAATTCCACATGTGAGTGAAATCGTATGGTATTTGTCTTTCTCTGACTGACTCATTTCAGTTAGCATTACACCCTCTAGATCCATCCATGTTGCTGCAAATGGCAAGATTTCATTCCCTTTTTATGGCTGTATATATTCCATTGTACATATATACCACATTTCATTCCCTTTTTATGGCTGTATATATTCCATTGTACATATATACCACATTTTTTTTAAACAGACTTTTTTTTTTTTTTTAAGATCCCATTCATTTATTTGACAGAGAGAGACACAGCGAGAGAAGGAACACAAGCAGGGGGAGTAAGAGAGGGAGAAGCAAGCTTCCCGCCAAGCAGGGAGCCGATGCGGGGCTCCATCCCAGGATCCTGGGATCATGACCTGAGCTGAAGGCAGACGCTCAACGCCTGAGCCACCCAGGCGCCCAGTGTTTTTGTATTCTTTGGGTAAATACTCAGTAGAGGAATTCCTGGATGATATGGTAGTTCTATTTTCAATTCTTTGAGGAACCTCCATGCTGTTTTCCACAGTGGCTGCGTCCATTTGCATTCCCACTGACAGTGGGAGGGTTTCTTTTTCTCCATATCCTTAAAGCTGCCTTCTTTAGAACACTTGACCCTCTACTTCGTGGCTCTCGAATGGCATTTCTCCAAGGCAGCCTTATCCTGTAGCCACGCAGCAGCGCTAGCCTCCGTGCTCGTGGGCAAACTGCGTGCGGCAGGTGCAGTATCCTCGGTGTGCTCAGCACCTGCCCCGCAGCGGAGGTTTCCGGGGACCTCGTCTTTCTTCTCTATACCTCCAGAATTTTGAACAGCGGAGTCGGCTCACAGTCTCAGCTCCCACGAGCTCCCCTCCACGCCTCAGACGCCTGAAAGCGAAGTCCTGTCCCAGCCTTAAAATAAGCCTGGTCTATCTATAACAGCCCTTGGTTGAGGAAGTGAGGGGCGGGGGGATGGGGTTGGGGGGGACTGTGGTAAACCAGAAACACGCGGTGCTGCCCCTACAGGAGGCAGCCCCTTGGAAGCCCCATGCTATGGCTGCCATTAAGGAACGGGCCAATGGTTGTTGGATCTTTCTCTGTTTCAACAGAAAACAGAGCCTGCATCTGTAGGTGAAATCCTCAGACTTGTAAATGCTGCTGACTCACCCAGTCAAACAAGCCAGGTCCGTGGCCCCTGCTCTGTGAATTGCCAGCCCCCAGGTTTTGTCCCTCAACTTTTCCCTTCTATCTGGTCCCTCTCTGCAGAATCTCAGCCACCCCACAGCTCCCACATCACCTCATGGCTTTCCATTCTTCTTTTAAATTTTTTAAATAAAAATTGATCATGGGGGCGCCTGGGTGGCTCAGTGGGTTAAGCCTCTGCCTTCGGCTCAGGTCATGATCTCAGGGTCCTGGGATCAAGCCCCGCATCAGGCTCTCTGCTCAGCAGGGAGCCTGCTTCCTCCTCTCTCTCTGCCTGCCTCTCTGCCTACTTGTGATCTCTGTCAAATAAATAAATAAATAATCTTTAAAAAAAATTTGATCATGATGATCTGGCATGCATATACATGATGAAATGACTACTACAGTTAAGCTAAGTAGTATATCTTCTCTTCATCTAGTCACCATTTTTCTATATTTAATGAGAGCACCAGAAACATATCAGAAATATATTCTCTAGCAAATTTCCAGTTTTGTTTTTTTTTTTAGATTTTATTTATTTATTTGACAGAGAAAGAGGGAATACAAGCAGGGGGAGTGGGCAGAGGGAGAAGCAGGCTTCCCGCCAAGCAGGGAGCCCAACGCCAGGCTTGATCCCAGAACCCTGGGATAATGACCTGAGCTGAAGGCAGCTGCTTAACGACTGAGCCACCCAGGTGCCCCTAATTTCCAGTACTTAAGACAATGTTATTAACTATAGTCATCAGGCTATACATTACATCCCTAGATTTACTCATCCCACGTAATGCAACTTTGTATCCTTTGGCCAACATCTTCCAGTTTCCCCCACCCCCATGCCTTGATAACCATTGCTCTACTCTCTGCTTCGGTGAATTTGTTTTTAGACCCCACCCTATCAGTGAGGTCATGCAGTTTTTCTCTCTTAAGGGACCAGGCAAAAATGTCCCTATCCTCATGGCCCATGCCAATCGTCATTCCTCCAGAACACCTTGGGAGTGCAGTCCCTGTTCTTTATCCCCACTGCACTTGTCAGGGCTTTGTTATTCTTTGCCAGTCTTTGACCTCATCCCTGGTCTCTTACCTCATCCCTAGCCTCTCCCATCCGTTAGGAATCCTGTTGCTGTCATGGGCTCCTCATCCAATGCAGCTCTGACTACCCTGCCTCCCCAATAAAACAAAGCAAAACCTTCAATGACTTCCCTGCAGGCTGAGCCCCAGTGTCCTTAGCATAACAGAAATACCCTTAGCTTTGCTGCAATGGTCCTCCTCCTGCCCCAGCATCACCTCCTCCTACCCCTGAAACCTCAACCGGCTTCCTCCAGCTTCAAGATTGTCTCAGGCACCTTCCTGCCTCTGGCCATTTGCACGAGTTACTTGGTATCCCTGCCCCCGCCTGCATCCTCTCTACTCTCTCACTGCCTAGACCCTCTTTCAGCCGGCGAGATCCTATTTTGTATCTTAGTTTAAACGTGATTTTCCTCAGGAGGCATTCTCAGCCTCCCTCCCAGACTAGATTAGACTCCAGCACAGTTCCCTTACTTTTCCTTCAGGGTGTTTATCACACTTGTGATCATGTAATCCAGTATAGGACTGTTTGTTAAAAATCTATTTCCTTTATTAGAGTGCAAGACTTTATGAAGATGGGGAATATATGTGTGTGTGTTTGATATGCAGTGTGAATCTCATTGGAAACACCACAGAAGCCCCCTTTCACCCAGCTGGTCCCCTCAGCTGAGCCACTTGTCTGAGTATGTGGACTCATAGCCTCTCCTCCTCTCTTCCGGTCTCTTTGACCTCTCTCTTTTCCTTCCTCCCCCTCCCCTGTCATGGAGTAACTAGAAAATCACTCCTGCCGGCTTGCCCCAAACAGTTCCAACTCCAGATCCCTTGAGAAGCTCACCTTCTAGTCCCAAATACCTTCCAGATATTTTTTCAAAGAAATGCAATGTTCTTCAAAGGAATTCTAATGCAAACTTCAGTAACAATTTCCATGCCTGTTGGAATAAGAGCTGAGCTCTCCGTGCCTGACTCCTAAGGCACGTAGAAGAATTTCAGGTTTGTGGAGTGAATGGAGAAGATCAAGAACTGCAAAAGCAAAATGTCTATGTCCTTCTATTCTTTTTTCAGTCATCCAGCATGTATGTATGTATCAAATGCATAGAGTTTCTAAGTTTTGTTCTTAAATTTAGAGATCTAAATTAAATTTAGGTGAAATACAACGCCACCTAAAGTTGCTTACAGTGGAGCCGAAGAGACAGGACAA